TGTGTTTTACTTCAAGAATCTTTTGGAGGGTGACCCTCCAATGGCTCCACCCAACCCGTCATACAGTCAGAATGTGCAGGAGCTTAAGAAGAGGGTGCTCTCAATTTCAACCTGGCAGCCAAACTGTACACTTCTCACTCTGTCTGAGTTGAGTCAACGAATAAAAGACACATGGAACGCATTGTTAAATGAGAACTTCATTTTTAACTTCCGTAATTCCTTGGATATGAAGGTGTACAGTCATCTTGAGAGAGATTACCTGAAGTGGTCTTGGAAATTAAGAAAAACAGCTTTAGAGACACAAAGGACCTTAAACTGCAGTGTGAAAAGTTGTGAGCTGAATACTATCAACGAGTCAGAGATAAAAATAATCTTTGAAGACACTCATACAGCAATCAAAACGGATGTCGACAGATATTTCAGGGAGAAGAATCATGCCGACATTCTCTCTCAGTGGAGAGTTTCAATTGATAGACGGTTGGAAATTTTGAAAGAAGAGCTTACCGATGAAACATATAAAAAAGGTCTAAAGGAAGTAATTCAAAGGAATCTCAAATTTGAACTTGACAGCAAACTGAGGGAGTATCAGACAGACTTGTTTCAGAAAGGCATGGCTGCAGCATCTGCACTCAATAACCGAACTCCAAATGAGGATCTAATACTGAAAGAATTTAACAAACTTTGGATACAATGGACAACTGATCTGTCCTCTAAGAATCCAAAGGACACAGAAACAAATATACAGAGCTTGGTCGAAAGTGCCTTACTGACTCGCTTTGAAAAACACAAAGATGTCATTTGTAATAAATCAGAGGAAGTTTTCCAATTTGATACTGGCAAGCACATTAAAAGTTCATTCTTTTCCAAAAATTTTAGGACAAACAATTCTCAGATGAATCAAAATGGAAATGACTTTACTAACCACATTTTGGAGGATATCAGTAAGAGAATAAAAGAGAAGGCTGCAGATGGTAATGACATTACTGAGAATTTCATTCATGAGATTTTGGAAGAAATTAATGACATGACCCTCAAATATCAGAAATCCCATGGTTTCCAATTCACAAGTTTGTACAAAGCTTGCTTATCTACTTATGTTTGCAAAATGTCAACAAGGGAGCTCAAAAAAATATATGAAAACTTTAGGTCAGAAAATGACCCCCTCACACACTTAATGAAGAAAAAGCAACATTTCATCCAGTTATACACACGCTATTGTCAGGGTGCAGAATCATTTAAGACTTTTGTCGCAGTTTTAATCAACAGTCTTCAAGAAGCAATGCATTATGCTCTTTCTGACAGATTAAGCATTGACATAGCAGATTATCTGAGCCATCACCATGAAGCACTTCGTGGAAACAAGTCTAATTTGGAGCATCACATTATGAAACATCTGGCAGAAAAGGAGAATTTTAAAGAATACATTAAGTACATTAATGATCCAAAATCTTTCTGTCGGGAGTTTATAAGAGAATGTGTTGTGAAGCATATCAATGATGAACAAATGAAGGTGTCAGAGGTCCTTTCTTCCAGCTTGTCACAGCTAACAGAGAAAGTTCTGGTTGAGTGCTCTTCTGCATCAGAAAAAGTTAGAGAAACACAAGGCAATGTCTCGATGTGGCTTGATGAATTTTGCTTGAGACTTGGACAGGAGATCCCTTTGTCAAGAGAAGATTTTAGGAATTTTGAGAATCTGCATATTGATAATGCACAAATCCTTCAGGAGTCAGTTGCTAGTTCACTCAAGGACATGTTGGAAAACGGACAAACGGACCCCAAAAGTATCTTAGGCTCAGGGCCTATTATGTTCACACTAAAAGAAAAACCAGTTGATATTCTCTTTGAACAGCTGAGTGGGTGCTGGGAGCAGTGTCCTTTCTGTAAAGCTGTGTGCACTAAAACCATTCCAAATCATGAACAAGATCACACTGTTGAGTTGCATAGGTGTCAAGCCATTGGTGGTCTTTATTATCAACAGAGGTATTCAAATATTGTGAAGCTCTTTCAGGATCGAGGTGTTCTGGACTTTTGTTCAACATCTGTCATAAGTGACTATGAATTCAAACAGCATGACTTGGATAAGTGGACCCCTTTTAAACAATACAGAGATGCAGGTCCTCCTTACAATAGCTGGAAAATTACACCAGACAATCAGGATAGATTATACTGGAAATGGTTTATCTGCACCTTCAGTGAACAACTGGAAAATCTATACAATTTCAAATTTGAAGGCCTTGGCAAAATCCCAGTGAACTGGAAACAAATCAAAAAGGATAAAGTTATAAAGGAAATGAATGACATTATTCTGAAAAATGAAACAACTTGATCAAAGAATTGTTAAAATGCATTAAAATCACCAAAAAATTATTAGACAAATGTCATGATAAATGGTGTTCTAGACCACTAAAAATGAATAACTAATCAGCTATCATTTCTGTACTGGTTTGTACTTAAAATGGATACATATTTAAAATTATATCATTTGTATATTGAACATCTATTATGCCAACTGAAATGTTATATGAATGAACTTCTAAGGTGGAACTTCATCTAACTATGTCAATCATTTGTCAGCAGTACATAAGCGGCTGCTTAGCTCCTTCTGTGACAATTCATACAACTACTCTCATTTTTAAACACATAATTTATGTATGTTATGGACAGCACGCAGCACGTTGACCTTTAGCTCATATGAACTATTTAACTTGTGAAACTGCATGTTGCTAGTGCTTATTCTGATTAGCACTGTGAATCTTTAGAGAAAGCTGTATCTTTTTAGGAAGTGTAATGTTAGCATGTTAGCATACCATATCCCTTTTCTGAAAGTGTTTGAAATTTAAAGGGAAATATAATGGCAATACTTTGTTTATCCTGATGTTGATGTACATGTACTTTGTTTGGTTCTTTTAATTTGCTTCAACTCTAAATCTGTTTTTTTGTACTGCTGTAAATGTTTCATTAATGTTTTTTTTTTTTTTGCACATACGTTTAGGTATAAATGAGAAAATGTATAAATACAAGAACTTGCATAATATATTGAGAAAGATCACATGATGTGACTGAAACACTTGCCACTTTTCAGTACAGCAGTGGCTTTTATCTTCATTTAGTGTATTTATGGTCATTATTAAAGTGTGCAGGCCTTTTTTCAGTTTATGCACTGCATTTTGGACTTTTTAAGGGGCTGTGAGTTTTTGGCTTATATATATATATATATATATATATACATACATACAAGAACTTCAATTTGAGGCCTAAATTAAACTTGAAAGAAGACATGGCTATTATCAGTATTTTTGTGAATAAAGACATGTTGGTTTATATAATGATACAGATGTGTTATATGCAATATAAATGTCTTTATATGCACCTCTGTCTTGGTCTTTTTTACTTAACAATGTTTTAGTTTTTTTTTTTTTTTTTACTTTTCCTTTAACACTTGTTCATCATTTATTACATTGTTGAACAAATGTTCTTGTTTAATTTTCATTTACATTGCTAGATATTTATGAATAGTCAAGTAAAAAAGTAACTGACAAAGTGCACTATTAAACTTAAAAAACTTTAGCCAGCTGTTAGCCAGCTGTCCTAAAATGTCATGCTAACTTGACAATTAATTTCTTGTTGAAATGCCCTACCTTTAGTTTAGAGTGAAATTAATCTTTTAAAAAGCCCAAGTAATGATTTGGCTCAAGTTGACTTAAGTACTACTTCCTAGTCCAGACAACAAATTTTGTGTAAAAGTGAAACTGGAAAAAAAACAAATTGTTATATTAGCATGATAAGATGAGTTGTTTAAACATACTGTAGTTTGAATATACACAATTCACACAATATTCTTCAACATTTACCTACTAAAAGGCTAAACTAAAAAGGCAGCTAAAAAGTATGTTAAATGATAAAAATAAAGAATACTTCACCCATTAAGAACAGATAAAGTCTTATTGAGGGCCAAATGAACTATAACATATGACTACAACATATGCAAATGTAGTTTGTGTACAAGGAGGGACAAACTATGTTGTGGGGGGATTCATTTATAGTTAATTCAGTGTTTTTAGCAGAGGTTTTATTAGATCAGACACTGAACTAATGAAGAAAATGTTTCACAAGTTTGCTTTGCTCTGTTTGTGCTGGTGGAGTCTGATTGGTAAGTTATAAAAACATTTTTATGGTTTATTTTTATTTATTTATTTATTATTATTTTCAGAGTAATGAAATTGCCGCTAGATATACAGTTGACCATTTGTACTAATATGTACCTTCAAGATACTGATATGAACCCTTAGGGATAAATAAGGTACAAAAGTGTACCTTTTGGATTTGAAAGAATACCATTTGTACTATTTTCTGATAGTGGACTGTTTAAATTATATTATTTGCATATGCTTTAATGTATCAAATAAATCATGAATATTGTGAGATTTACTAACTTTGAATTCAAGTCTCTGATCAGAATGTTACATTGAAATTTCCTCAGCATTTACACTGTTCTGACCAGCAGGGGTCACCATCTTTGATCGATTCAAAAGAGTCAATCATTTTAAAAAGTAATTGTTTCAATTGACTTGAAGTTTCGAAAGGCTTTGTTTCTCACATTACTAGCAACAGTTGGCAAACTGTCTGAAACAGGAGCCTCATGGAGAGGAAAGACCCCCAAGTCTCTGCTTCCTGTGCTTCTTTTGCTGTGTTTATTGCTGCAGGGCTTCTTCCTGCAGGAGCCAGTGAATGGAGTGTTGCTTGATGACCAGGAAACAGGGTGCAGTATGCAAATAACAGCATCAGAGCAGCAGCCCAGAGGACAATGAACAATAGAGAGGGAGACAGCACTGACAGCAAAAACAAACACAGTTGCCAAAGATCAGTAGGCCACAGGACATAATAATAAAGTTGCTAGTAAAAGCAGTGTGTCAGCATTCAAATCAACTTGATTCAGTATAAGCTTAGTTGTTTCTAATAACACACAGAAATATTTTAGAAACACAAATATTTCAGCCACTATGAATGAATCATGTTTTAATAATATTTATCACATAAACATACAAAGATTTTTTTCAAGTTCATATCTTTATTTCCCCCCCCCCCCAAAAAAAGTGTTTATAGAGTTAGGAAAACTGACATTCATGTCTACTTCATATTGGTTTATGGTAAAAACTGTGGTACAGGATTTTGAGAGGAGTTTAGCATATTAGCTTTGACACTTCAATGACTTTTCTGAAAATATTTACGACATATATAAAAAATCATGATATACAACTATTAAGGCTATTATTTACACATTTATAGTGAGCACCAGGTAAAAAGACAAATCCAAAAAAGGAACAAGGGAACAAGAGTGATGCCCAAAGAAAGAACCAAGGAAACCGTAAGCTTAAGCCTATCTGACCAAGTCAAGTATTTAAGTGAAAGCAATCGTCTTCATCAAAAAGTGATGATATTCTGCAAGACAAACACATCAGCAAAATACAATCACAAAAAAATCAATCACACTCAACAATCACAGCTGAACACACTTCATTATGGAATAAACCAGACATCTCCTCAAATGCCAACAAATAAAATGAAAGAACAAATCAGCACCTCATAAAACGGCACAGATTATTTGATTGCAACTACAGGTAAGAAGACCGAATGTTGCAATTTCAGTCTTTGACTTGTTTTTGCACATTTCAATGATGAAGGTTAAATAAAGTATATCTACCAAAGATATGAAGATTTACTATAATTTAATTGCATTACTTCACTTTCACTTTCATTATCAAGTATACACACACGTGTGTTAATTCTTCTGTAACATTCCTCCTGACAAACAGCACATCAAATATTTTTCAAGTCCCCAGCCTGTGTCATGTATGCATCAGTTACAGGCACTGAACATCACAAATACTCTCAGCCAAGTGTTTCACCAACTTTAAAATAAATATTATATTAAGGCTGGTTTTGGTTCCAGTGTAGCTGGTGGAAAGTGTTTTCTGATGACTAAGGTTGATGACTAAGGGTTAGTGTTGGTTAAACTATACACATTAGCAATGTAATGATACAATCTTTTACAGAAACAGCAACAATACCAGTTAAACCACCGACAGTAACAGTAGTGCAGACTGTCCTCCAGTGTGAGACTGTGTGTGAGGAGGAAAAATCTAATTGTGGAAAACACAGTCAGTTCTATCAGTTATAAGTGAAGCAGGCAAGGCCAAATAATTGAAATGTCAAACCAGATACAGTATCAGTTATAGTGCAGAGATGATGTCTCACTGTTCCTGTCTTGATCACTTTAGCAGCTTTAACAAACCTCTGCATACTGATGAACATCAAGCCCTCGCTGTTCCACTGCTAGCAAGTTTCATTAATTTCCTTTTTTTTTTTTAGTGTCCTCTTCAATGAAAGTATCGAAAGTATGTTACATCGTTTTGTTAGCAGCCTTGGCCCAAATCTGATTCACGGATGTTATGTGTCACTCAAAGCAATGCACTTCGTATCAGGTGGCAAGTCATTAACACTATTGTCCTGTAAGAAAACAGATATTCATAAATGGTCAAATTAATAAAGAGGATTGATGTTTCAGTTACACAAACACAAAACTACTACAGACATGGAATTGCGTTTTTTTCTGTTGTTTGTACAGAGGTTTTCTTTTCCTTAACATTTAACAGTGTCTTAAACTGCATCAAACTGTCATCTTTTGTACTCCAGTAACATAAACTAAGCATATCACATCTAAAATGCTTACTGTTATATTGGTGTTTTCTAATAAGACGCTTGCTCTTTGAAAAAAGTGCACTTTATGTTTATTTGGGAGTTATTTGTGTTTTTGATTGTTCTGACACTGCCTCGCCGGTATCTGTTTCTGTGGTGTTAAAAATAAAAGGCAAAAAAAAAAGATGACTATTGACAGTTTACACTCAGAATTATATAATAATATAAAAAACATATCGATACCTCTTTTATTTTAAAGTTTTTTTGTTTGTTTGTTCACAGCAAGTCATTCATCTAGTTAAATCAGCTGCATGTAATACTTACATTCTGTGCTGCTGGTTTATATCCCTTGCAACGATGCCAGTAAACCATAGCAGCAATTACAGCCACAAATAGAAAAACAACAGCAACACATATTCCTGCTACAGCACCGGGAGATAGACTAGAATCTGGAACAGCTAAAGAGAAACATTAGTCATTATTACTAGAATGAATTATAATCCATCCAGTATTTAACAATACTTTTGACTGATATTTACTCTTTTTTTTACTCATCAGGTCATCAGTAGTATGAGACTAATTTAACTGATAAATGGCAGTATCTGTTTTAGCAACAGCAGCATCACAGCACTGTGAGATCAACAGGAAACAATGCTGACAGGAAAATGGACTGCTTTTCTTCAAGGCATTATCAAGTCAAAGCTCCCTTTTTCTAAACACTCCACATCCCAACACTTACTAGGTTGATTAAAAAAATAGAATTTTTTGAAAATTCCTCAAAGAAGAATGAATTGAATGAGTGAATTATATACTCACCAGTGACAGTTACATTGAATATCTTCACTCTGGTGATACTGAAGCTTCTGTCGCTGATGGTGATCAGTAGTTTATAATCTCCAAAGTCTGTGGTTCTAGTGTTCATGATGGTCAGAGATCCAGTCTGATGATCCAGCTTCAGTCTGTCTCTGAATCTCTCATCACACTGATCATCTGTACAGATCTTTCTCTGATCTCCAGTGATTTCAGCAAGGAGAATGTCATTAAAATACCACATTAGAACATCATTTGGGTTTTTTGTTTCATCAGATACTAAAGTGATAGATTCTCTCTCGTTTGTCTTCACTTCATCTCGTTCATCAGCAGAAACATCTGAAATACAAACCAACAGCTGCTGGAGAATCTTTTTGTGTGGGGGTGGGGGGGGGGACGTGACGCAGCTGACACAGAACAGCATACGCTGTTTACGTTCAGTGTATAGTCTCCAAAATGGCGCTAGGGTGAGACAAATTGTTGAATAAAGTCCTTTTTTTCTTTTCTTTTGGCAACAAAAAGTATTCTCGTAGCTTCATAAAATTACAGTTTAACCCCTGATGTCACATGGATTATTTTACCGATATCCTTGCTACGTTTCTGGAACTTGATTGTGTAAGTATCCTTGCTGTCTATGGGAGGGTCAGAGAGCTCACGGGATGCATCAAAAATATCTTAACGTGTTCCGAATATGAACGAAGGTCTTACGGGTTTGGAACGACATGAGGATGAGTAATTAATGACAGAGTTTTCATTTTTTGGGTGAACTATCCCTTTAAAGTGGCAGACAACAAAACTGCAGCGCTTTTAATGAACATAACGATATTGTGTGTTGGTGTGGACAACAAAATAGCTATCGTTATAGTTATCATCCAAGTTTGAATGGGATTTTAGTTTAAAATCAAAATAAGCTGTTTAATGATGTACTGCAGATGTAATTTCGAGAGTAAATCCTGCATTTATATGTAGACGTCACTTCCGAAATTGTGAAAATACTGTGTGTAAATGTACAGGTAAAAACAATAAAAATCAAGTATTTGATCAATACTTTAAACGTAAACTGCATTTAAACATTCATTAATGACTCACCATTGACAATAACATTGAAGATTTTTTCACTGCTGCTGGTGCTACTGATGATCTTCAGTTCATAAACTCCAGAGACTGTGTTTGTGATGTCTGTGAGGGTCAGAGAACCAGTCTGACTGTCAAGCTTCAATTTGTCTCTGAATCTCTCATCACCATCTTCACACTGAACATCTGTGCAGATCGAACTGAGATCTCCACTGATTTGAGCGATACGAGTGTCAGTAAAATACCATTTAATATCTTCTTGTTTGTTTGTTTCAACACCAGTGTGAAAAATGACTGAATCTCCCTCCTTCACAGACACTGAGACTACATCTGATCCAACACCAGACACACCTGAAGAACAAACAGGTAGCATAAGCCAAGCAAAACATACAATAGTGCTGAGAAAACTTTTTTTCCCCACATATCACAAAGATTTTGAGTAGAGACGTATGCCTGGCCTGAATTCAAAACACATGCAAACAAACAGCAGAAGAACAGAACAACTAGTCAGCAAAGTTGTCTAATACCCAAAACCTGTTAACAGCAGTGTTGGGCAAGTTACTCTGAAAATTTAATTAAATTACTGATTACTGATTTCTCCTTTTAAAAGTAATCAAGTTACTTTTCTGATTACTTTATTTCAAAAGTAATTAGTTACATTGGCTACTAAGTTACTTTTTTCAGTACATCCATGAAATTTACATGAAAAAGTAAGTTTTGTGTCACCTGGCCACAACATCCCAGCATAAATGCTCCCGATAAATATTTGTTACTAAAGCATCAACATTCACAAACCACTTTTATTTTTAACTAAATGCAACCATAGGCTACCGTGTACATGGTTTGGCATGGCAGAATGCCAGCAAAGGGCTCTCCCTTTATCACAGTCTCACAAAGCTCTTTTATAATATATAGTCTTTCTACAATTCGTGTGTTACAATGAGAGGATTCGTGAGCACGCAAATTTCAGCACTGCACAGGAGCTCCTGCGTTTTGAGCGGTGAGTAGATTCTCTGATTGGTCATTACGTTCCAGAAATCAGCATTGCTCAATGCTGCAAACGCGTGTTATAAACAAGCGGCAACCTTCCAGTCTCTCTCGTGAAACCAACACGGAAGTGACTAAAACTGCAATTCATCGTCTGGCCGAAAAGGGAGTCAGTCCCATAGACTCCCCATGTTAAAATGCCCAACTTTACAGCAGAAAAAAAATATGTTTTCACCCTGGTACAAAAAGTGGTTTTGGTCTATATAGCTAATTTTGCCCTTCATGATAACTGCGAGGGGGGTGATTTTTTTTTATAGCTCATCCGTTTAAATTATATTAAGCCTTAAAGTTCTGCATAATTAAGGGCGTGGCCACTTGAGTGACAGGTGGATTGCCGCTGCTGTCACCACCGTCGAGCTAGGTGGGCATGGTTTCAGCAACCAGCTGAAACCATGCCCATGCTCTTTGCCCATTTTCGATTATCTGGGAGTGACGAGCTGCCAAGATGGCGACGGCCAGCTCCGCCCACTTTGAGCTTCAAAAACGCTCTTCAGAAACCTACAGGTGACGTCACGGACACTACGTCTATGTTTTTATACAGTCTATAGTTATAAATAGAAACTCGGTCTACGCTTGCGCCTGTTAATCGTTTTTATGTTATTTTAGTTGTACTTGTTGCTTTTATGCAATAGATGAATAACAATTAATTTGTTTTTAGATATTTTATGTTTATATATTTCTATTTTGCGGGAGTCCAGCGAAAGATTTTATTCTCCTGCACACACCCGAGTCTCTATGCACAACTACAGAATGATACTTTTCTTTCTCCATGCTGAGTTTTTCGTTGGTAGTATCCGCCTCGCAGGCGCTTAACCAGTCAAAGTAGGTCTCAGGTAGAGGACGCTGCATGTGCTCCACCCTCTAAATGATAAAACTGCATTCTGTAGGCAATGATGTAACGCAGCGGAAATGCACAGAGACCTCGGCTTGGATCTATAATCTAATTACTGTTTTGGAAATTATAACGCGTTAAATTACTCAGTTACTAAAAAAGTTATCAAATTACAGTAACGCGTTACTAATGTGTTACTGCCCAACACTGATTAACAGCAAGTCTTGTCTGGTACTCAAAACTGTATTAAGTCTTCTATCAGCCAAGAAGTTGTAAAGAAGAGTAAAGCCGGTGAAGAGCAAAGTCAGGAGACGAAGGGATGATAACAAATAAGCAGTTTATTGTATAATCTTAACTGCATATGCATATGTTTCAAAGCTCAGAATTCATCTGACCAGCAGAAATCCAGTAAGTATTATTACCACAAACAACAGCAGTGGAAAATTCACAACATCATCCTGTGACGTGTAAAAAAAAAAAAAAACTTGGAAAGAAGACATTATCTTCGCTCTCTCTTTCTCTTGACGACAAATATCCCTTGAAACCACACAATCCCAAAAAGACCAAACAACAATGGAAAATAATATAAAAATAATAATATAATCAAATCAAGGAAAGAATCAATGCAATGAGTATATAAATGGTTTAAATGATTATTATAAATGATATGACTAAATAGAATAATAAAATTGTAATTGTCACGCGTCCCCACGTACATTACAAAAATAATTAAATGATTAAATATTATAAGCAAATGAATGGATGAATTAATCAATGAATGAATATAAAAGAAGAAGTAAAAATACACCAAACAAATGGTTGCCCTCCTGAAGTGAAACGCACAGGTCAAATCCACAGATCCTTCAACATCCTGTTTCAAAATTTACCCCCTTTCCCTATATTGCATAGATGAATTACTTATTAAAATACTTAAGAAATTATTTGTGCCATGTTTTTCTATAAATATGTTTTAGTCCTACTTTTGGAATCTCCCACATAAAGTATGTGCAAATTATGAATTCTTTGATCTTAGGCACTGTTGTCAGCCTAATCATAATGTCAACACAAACCCGGATCTTTCTGTCACTACAGTGCCTATTATAAGCTCACAGAAACCGGTGCAACAAATTGTAACAAACAGAGGTCTTACCATTGTTGAGGAAAAACAAGATCACGGCGAACAAATGAAAGAAAAGCTTCATTTCACAACTTTCCCCTTTAGAAAATGAATGCCTTGTCAGATTAATAAAAGTGTTCTTCTGCTTTAGTGGCGATGCAATTGTATCACTAGTTCGAGTGAAAGTGACATCGGAGCCTCTATGGAAGGTCGAGCGATGACGTAGTGAACGTCCCGGATGTTTTTATATGCAAATGCAAAACCATGTCCAGAGAAAAAAAGACAGCATGTTCTTTGTCCCGTAAGCACCTGCTGGCAGATGTTGCTTTGACTGCATTAGGCACCTTTTTTTAATGTCATGGCTATAGAAATATCACTCCACACATACTGTAATCAATCAATCAAAAATAAATAAATAAATAAATTATATATATATATAAAACCTAAAACAGAAAGAAAAATACTATGATATAATTAATAAAAAAATAATTATAAAAAATATAAATTAAAATTTAAATTATAAAATTTAAATGTATAAAAATAAATAAAAATCAATAATTATAAAAATACAAAAATATACTTATAAAAATTAATTTAAAAAAATGTATATCTCAAAACAAATACAAATAAAATAAAAAAAAATGTAAAAGTACAGAAAATGTTTATGTAAAATTAGAGCAGTAGCCTAAATGGAGAGGCTACCAGCTAATTATTTATTAAGGTAATACATGAATGAATTAAGCAAAAAAAAATAAAAAATAACTCCTGGTGCTAAAGAGGCCTCAAGCTCAAGCAACAACCACTCTGGGAAAGAAGGACCTTCTTAGCAGTCAATTCATCACAGTAACCCACAGCACCTGCCGCTTGACTCCACCCTGCAAACACAGAGAGAGAGAGAGCACACAAAACAAGACTAAAACCACCTGTCAACTGAAAATGCAAAACGAGGGAACAGAAGCTAGGCAGGGAAATTGAGCCTGCCAGGCACCATCGAAACAGAGAGCGATCTGTTCAGATCTGTCAATTAATTTCTAGCTCAACCAATAGCATAAGTTTGGAGGCGTGGCCATTGCAGGCGGAACCAGAGCATTATCATGTACCTGTTCAGAAAGACAAATATAGTTATAGTATATAGTTTATAATGTTTACTTTGATGTGTCCAGTGTAGACAGACTCAAACAGCTTGAGACGGGCCTTCACAAGCACCTGTAGAAGCTGTGTTTGCAATGTTTAAGTTGGGGGAGGTGCATTTGTGAAACTATATACTTCACCCTTAAGTCAGTCAGTCCAGAAAATGATGCATCAAGAATTCATACCTGTACAGAAATCTGCTACACCTTGTAAATGACTTGCCTTTTGATTTACCTAGTCCATCACTATATCTGAGATTTCAACTGAAGCAGGAAAAAGGAAGAACAGAAAGATAGGATCTAAAACAGAGAGGTGAACAGTGACACGTCTGATACAATGAAGCAATGACAGTCAGCTGTGTGGAAAGATGTGTAAGAGTTCAGACCAAACATTTGTACATATGCTGTTACTTATTTACATTTTCACTTCATATACCTATTTTCATATTCAAATGTTTAAGGGATGAAAATTAAAAAGGGTTTTCAATACATTAGAATGTATCTTGTTTAATTAAATTGTTTTTTTTTCCCCCTGAAAATAAATATCATATCTTTATTTTTTATTTTATTTACCATGATTTACAGAAGACACCCATCAAAATGTCATATATATGTGTGTGTGTGTGTGATGCAATCTAGGAAAACCCACCACATGGTGAAATGTTACCTTTTTTAGATTTTGATACCATATGAAAACTGTTTTTATATTCTCCATAGCTTGACCGTAAACAAAAGTTATGGCTATCTGAAGTTGGCTGATAGCTATGATTTTCAGAAATGGAATTTTGAGAAAAACAGGTTTAAAGTGAGACTGGTTTCATTTCACTTCTAAAAGTCTAATTACTTGTAATTTAGCATTTTTCAGCTTTCCCACTATAGCAAATTTTGTCCGCAAGAATTTGTCAGCAATATTTTTTTATATATATATAATTTCAAATACAATATAATGTAGTATAATCACTTATTATTTTATGTATTTTAGTAAGTACAGGTCAGAATAAGTCGTTTTTCACAGTGTTACACTGAATGAACATTATTTCCCCTACATTTTGACATTTTATTTATGCAAGCAGCAATGCAGGTTTCAAGCACTTTAAGGCCTTTAAGCACATTCATAAAAAATAGCCTATGTTTTATTTAACAAGCTTGTAACCAAATAAATCATGGGATCAACCATTTACAGCCAATAAAGGCAATTTACTAAGGAAATATGTTTTTTAAAAGCTTTTTAACAGTTATAGCTCCACCTATTGTCTGATCTCCATAAAACGTTGCTTCTTTAGAATCACATGTGGCCTGTGCTCACCTAATGTTGCGAAGCTCTGAGTTTTCATTTAGGATTAATGGGCTTTTGGGTACACTTGATCACACTCATTTTCTAAATGACCCTGTTATAGCTGTCCAAATGCCAAAGTTCAACATTTTCTTTATTATCGACCTACACAGCCTAGAGAATTGTGCTGCAGTCATTTTATCGAGGTTGAATACTTCACTAAAGTGATATTTTCAAACAATCTCCAATATTTAATGAACTTTTCTATTGACAGCAGTGATCCTAGAACCAAAGTTGTTCAGAATGAGAAGATCCATCATATGGTATTAATATTGCAAGCATGTGTGAAAAAAAAAAGAAGTGTAATAGGCCTATATCAGGGCTGTCCAAACTCGGTCCTGGAGGGCCGGTGTCCTGCAGAGTTTAGTTCCAACCCTAATTAAACACACACTCTAAAAAATGCTGGGTTAAATACAACCCAGTGCTGGGTAAAATAGGGACAAACCCAGCAATTGGGCTGTTTTGACCCAGCGGTTTGAATAAATGTTTAACCCAACCTTCTGGGTAGTAACCCAACCGCTGGTTCAAAATAACCCAATTGCTGGGTTTGTCCCTATTTTACCCAGCACTGGGATGTATTTAACCCAGCATTTTTTAGAGTGCACCTGAACCAGCTAATCAAGCTCATACTAGGCATAGAAACTTCCAGTCAGGTGTGTTGAGGCAAGTTTTAGCTAAACTCTGCAGGACACCGGCCCTCCAGGACCGAGTTTGGACAGCCCTGGCCTATATACTGTTTTTTTTTCCCCCTGAAAATAAATATCATATCTTTATTTTTTATTTTATTTACCATGATTTACAGAAGACACCCATCAAAATGTCATATATATGTGTGTGTGTGTGTGATGCAATCTAGGAAAACCCACCACATGGTGAAATGTTACCTTTTTTAGATTTTGATACCATATGAAAACTGTTTTTATATTCTCCATAGCTTGACCGTAAACAAAAGTTATGGCTATCTGAAGTTGGCTGATAGCTATGATTTTCAGAAATGGAATTTTGAGAAAAACAGGTTTAAAGTGAGACTGGTTTCATTTCACTTCACGGGTTTAAGGAGAGCTGTCTGTCAGCAGCGCTATACTGCATCATTACACAAACAGACTAAGGTTACTCTGAAGAGGACGGTGTCCGTTTATCATGGGCATAGTCTCTGAACTTTTGATCACCCCTTGCATGTTTAGATAGCACGGATAGTGTACCTTGTAGTTTACATTTAGAAAAGCGAGCGCAGTGCACCTGTGCATAACAGACTGTCATCGGACTCTTCCTCTTTAGTAACTTCATCATCCGATCCTTCATCTCTGGATGGGACAAAAAACTGGCATTCCACCTATTTTTCGAATTTCCTGAAAACGTCCCAGCGCGACATCCGACGAGTTTTCCCAGATCGCATCGCACACACACACACACACACACACA